ACCATCAAGAGGTAATCCAACATTTCAGCCAAGATTCATCTTGTGAAGAGCTCCATTAGCTCTGGTTAATTTAAACCAGGAGTATACCTAATGTTTGGACTTTGTTCCAAGCAAACACAGATATATGGAGCAAATTCCAAGATGAAACTATGGAAGCTACACACTCTAAAACACACTGTGGCTTTCACTCCATTATAATGAAGCATGTTCACATTCTCCAACACAGGAATAAGGCATATGCATGAAATGAAGTCAGGCGGGACTGCTCAGGAAGGGGCAGGCTGGTTATCATTCTGTCCCTACCACACGTTCTCTGTTTCACCATCAGCAAAAGCATGAATTTTTGAAAGGAGTTGTTTCAGTATATTTCATCATCTCATTCCAAAATTTTCCCCTTTTCTGAGTTCCCCCATCATTTTAACTTTTCCGAGTCAAATGACAGTCCTCCTGAGACTACGAAATTTATAGTTTTTGTTTGCCTTGTTAGTAAGTAACTGTTTATTTATTTATTTAAATCAGTGGGGAATGCCGTAGTAAGTTCTCCTTGACCAACCAATAAGATTGCAAACTTGTGCCCCTTTCCCCCAGTACAGAGGGATGGAGAAGAGGAGCTTAGTCTAAGCACAGACTCAGGGGTTTCAGCTCATCACTCAGCAGCTCTGCCCATAGCTGCAGATGAGACGATGGTTCCTCCAAGGAAAATAAACATACAAGGACCCTTTAGAATTAACACCAGCTAAACCAGACAAATATCAAGTGCTTATGACTGCCAGGGCAGCTTCAAGTGAATGAAAAATGAGGAGCAACAACAAACATTTACTAAATAGTTATGCATGATTAAAGTTGAAGCAGTAAGCATGGCCCATCACAATTTGATGTTGAGTATACCAGCAAGAGAAAAAGTCTTGAAGATCTCTTTTAAAGCATTATCATGTAGCACTGCCTAACACAGCAGATGGAAGAGGTTCTTAGGTGGACAGTTACAGTGACTCTAGTGTATCCTATGCGTCTGCTAACACGTCTGTTTCACACTTTGTCAGTTTGACTTCATTGGTTTCAGTAACGACTTTTCTACCTTGGTATTTCCCCCATCCCCAAACTGGTGCTTGAGTGAGAAACATCATAGTGGGTTAGCAGGTAGTAGCTTTTGTATCATTAGAATGTGAATCTGTTATTCCCTTGTTTATGGATTTGAGCCTTATGTTGGGGGATTAGTTTTGAAGAAGCTAAAAAAGTAATTATTTTTATATATATAATATATATATATTATATAACATATAAGGTATATTTTTTCATATATATCTAACTAGCTTCAAGAAGATAAGTTACTATGGGTAGATTTCTCCTCCCTCTATAGTCAGAAGTCCAATTACCACAGATGTCACTGCCACAGTCAATCATACCTCAGTAGAGGATTGGTTTTGCTAAAGTTCATATTCACCTGGATGACACCCTGTTTATGGCTCGAATTCAGAAAAGTACATATGTACAACCTCAGTTCATTGTTTTCCTGAAAAATCACAATCTAGGCTCACTGAAGCATAAGGTACAAAAAGTGTGCACAGCATAACACAGTCTTAGACTTCATTAGGATGAGCAGTGTTAAATAAATATGTAAAGGGTGACTGTCATGGGGATGGAGCCAGGCTCTTCTCAGCGGCATCCAATGACAGGACAAGGGGAAATGGATATAAGCTGGAACATAGGAGGTTCCGCTTAAACATGAGGAAGAACTTCTTCCCAGTAAGGGTAACAGAACACTGGAACAGGCTGCCCAGAGAGGTTGTGGAGTCTCCTTCTCTGGAGATGTTCAAAACCCGCCCCGACGCGTTCTTGTGTGATCTGATCTAGGTGGTCCTGCTCCGGCAGGGGGATTGGACTAGATGATCCTTTGAGGTCCCTTCCAATCCCTAACATTCTGTGATACCACTACTTGTTTCTTATTGTATACATTTCTTTAGTTCAGGATTGTGATTATTAATGCTGTTTTGACAAGCACATTGATGCCAAAAATAAGCCAAAAGGACAAAAAACACGCAATGCATACTTTAAAGAGGTGCTTTTATATCATAAATATGCCTGCCTGTCTTACACATTGCCAGAATGTTTTAAAAATAAATAACCGTAAACATCAAGTGACCCAATATTCAATGTACCCATAGCTTTTCTCCATGTCACAACAGAAAGTCAGGTGATAAACACAGTTAAGATTCACGTCAACAGTTTCCTTTCTGCCTTGTATTAGTTTTTATACAATAACCTGAATCTCTTCACAGTTGCACGCCCTTTGCAGGGCAGACTAGAAAAACGACTACCTGTGGCTACTCAGCACTTCAGGTTATTCAGAAAACAAAACAGCTTATCATAAATAAAAGTACAGACCTGATAAAGCCACAGTTAGGCCTTAGATTATAATACACTGCTATAGTTATATTTTAAAGCAAGATTAAGGTCAAATATTTGGCTCATATTTCATCTGTAGAAAAGCTCTGCGTTCACATATTACTATTCAGCTGCTTCTCAGGATGAAGGCTGAAAGCATCAACATGATTTCTGTGCATCACCTTGAAGAGCACAGTAAGAAAAATGTGGTAAGGGGTCCAGTAAGTGTGAAACTGTAGCATTTTTCCAAACATACCTGCTAACTGGATGATGCCATGTCTTGCAACATCATAGTAAGGGTGATTGATATTTAACTCAGGATCCTCAAGCGGTGGAGACACAAATGTTTCCTGCTGTTCTGACTGTGTATCTTCTGCTTCATCTTTCTGCAGTTCTAAAGGAGCAAGCAAGAATGCTTAAGTGCTAATGAACAAAGAAAAACTTTTGCCTCTGATACATTATTGAAATGTTGAATTTTACCTGTTTGACAAAAACACAGGCCTTCATCATCGTTTGTTGCAGTTTCAGATTAGTTACTTGTTCTTTATCCTTTGCTATGTGTGGGAAAAGCAACCCTTTAATACCTCAAAGCTACCTTCACATCCTCCTTAAGGTTATTATCTGCTGTGATGCTCACAAAAATCTTGACAATGACTGGACAGCTGGCAAGCTGTGACCTTGCTATTCACGGCTGCTGGGGTTGTCTTGTCGTTTCCTACGCTCCCACAATCTGCTTGTCGTACCCATCTACAGTTTCTTGCCTTTTACTTCCAAGGTTGTCCAAATGGGAAAGTCGAAATTTCAGTATGCTAACATGTGCATTGACAGCTACTCCACATTAACACCCCAAGTCAACACTCTCTGAGAGCAGACTCATTACTTTGCAAAAACACAGCAGAGTGCAAACAAATCTCCATCTCGCCTCTCTCAAAATCCACTGCTTCCTTGAAATCCTTTAACCTTCTAAACTTGCAGTAGACAAGGCACCCAAATGTCCATCCAACATCTCCTCCAGCTAGAGGCCAAACAAAGGTGTAAAATTCTGCTCAAAAGCGCCCACTCCCCCCCCAAAAAAAAAAAAAAAAAATCAACGGGCATCCTTCCTCCAACTTTAGTAGATCCTGCACTAGATCCTAGAATTAAAATCTATTATGCACTGAAATGAGCAACACAAGGTCAATCAATCTTGTTCCAAGGATTTTCGGTTTTGTTTTGTGTTTGGTTTGCTTTTTTTTTTTTTTTTCCCCAAACTGTTGTAAGGTTCAAAATGAGCTGATTGTAAGTACCTATCCAAATGAACACAGATTCTGGGATAATGACTGTCATTAATCTACACTATTTAAATGAATATTTTCTAGAAGCTAAGGGGAGTAACATTAAGTTGACACACTAACAAACGTCTTCGTGGCTTAAGAGAAGAAAAGGCACATGTAAAGAGAAAAATTAATGTTCTGATAAGGTGCACCATTCCCTGTACATCACCCATCTCTTTTTATCATGCAAGTTTTAATAAGGTAGAATTAACAATTTTATCTATAACTTTACTAGTGTCACTATAAAAAGTACTTAAAGAATATTTTGCCTTCTAATCATCTGCATATTTCATATGCCTTGACCACCACACAAGACACACTAGGGCAGAGAGAATATATTAAGTATTGATTTCAGTCAGATTTATGTGCCAGTAGCTAATAAATGTTAGAGAAAAACTCTCACTAAATATTTTGGAACGCTTTTCACTCAGTTTCTTGATATTTTTCTATCCTATAAACAGCCACATGAAAGCTTTATTGTCTCATTTTTATTTTTAACATGATTTGTACCAAAAATGCATTTCATGAGGATGAAAAATGCCACTAACGGCTGGGCTTCTCAAAGACAAAGGGGAGTGAGGAGTCCGGATCATGTGCACGGCGGCTGAAACGCACAGACTCCGTAGATGTGATACCAGAGACGTTTATTACAATTTACAACCAGCTTTTATAGATTATTTTTCCAGCCATGATGTGTCTACGCGCCCTTTGCTTAGTTATCATTGGTTACAACCAGTAGTGCACACGTCTGTTTTAGTTTTGCTATTGGCTACGCCTAAAAAAGCATTATTTCCTATCTGCTAAGATAAATGTCAGCTTCTCACACTCCCTTTTCCTTTTTATCAGCTTTCTTCCTCTTTATCGGTGTCTCCCAACTTTGTCAAGAACACAGGCGTAAATCATCAAGGTCAAACCCCAACTGTAACTGTGTGTATGATTCCACGCGTGTGTACTACTTTTACATTTCTTTATGTCTGAATTCACATTAAAGCCTCCTCAGAAAATAAGTCAGCAGTCCTATAGGAAAAAAAAAAAATCTGCCTCTAGAAATACACCATGAGAGTCTTCTTCATACACACAAAATAGTTTAAATTCTTATTTTTATGTCAAAAACGTGTATTTTTCTACCCTTTAAAAGTGTTCATATATAAAAAGCTAAACTCATCTTACCTGGAAAAGTATTCTTTCACTTTAAAGAATGTTTTTGTCCCAAGAGCTAGGAAGAATACTACAAACCTAACGCAGTATATGACTTTCACAATTTTTCCTTTTATTTAAGTCATGTTAAAACTCAGAACAAGGAAAACACTATTTTGTTTAGCAGGGGCTTTTTTTTCATGTCTGAGCACTGTAACCACCTGAAGTTACAAAAAGTTGCAAAGGGGAGAGAGAAAAAGAAATAGAAAATGCTAGTCTGTGGGGGTATGAAGCTGAAGCTGTGAACTATTTACCATAATAAATAGTTAATTGGATGCATTTTAATTGGATAAGGAATTGGCTGGATGGTCGCACTCAAAGAGTTGTGGTCAACGGTTCAATGTCCACGTGGAGGCCAGGGACGAGTGGTGTTCCTCAGGGGTCAGTACTGGGACCAGTGCTATTTAACATCTTTGTTGGAGACATGGACAGTGGGATTGAGTGCACCCTCAGCAAGTTTGCAGATGACACCAAGTTGTGTGGTGTTGTAGACATGCTGGAGGGAAGGGATGCCATCCAGAGGGACCTCAACAGGCTGGAGAAATGGGCCTGGGAGAACCTCATGAAGTTCAAC